TGGACCACAAAACCAGTCATAAGGGTCAATTTTAAGTTGAAGCTGAATAAATAAGATTTCCATTGATGTATGGTTTGTTAGGATAGGGCAATATTTGGCAGAGATACATCTATTTGAAAATCTGGAATCAGAGGGTGGAAAAAAATCAAAATATTGAGAAAATAGCCTTTAAAGTTGTCCAAATTAAGTCCTTAGCAATGCATATTACTAATCAAAAATTAAGTTTTAATATATTTACAGTAGGAAATTTACAAAATATCTTCATGGAACATGATCTTTACTTAATATCCTAATTATTTTTGGCATAAAAGAAAAATCAATCATTTTGACCCATACAATGTATTGTTGGCTATTGCTACAAATATACCCCAGCGACTTAAGACTGGTTTTGTGCTCCAGGGTCACATATTTAACGTCATGTTAAAACTGACAATCTTGGTTACAATTCTATGGTTTCATGCTCAAGGCTATCAACATCAACTACCTTCTACCAAGATGCTGCAGGCCACCAGTTGAGAGGCTTTGTGTCACCTTGATGAAACTGTTGTTTGTGTATATGTGTGAGTAGGCCACCATATTTCAGGTGTGAAGTGCTGTGCTCTGTGATGATGGAGAGCTAGTGCCTTGATTTAGTGATTGCCAAACAAACCAAATGAGAGAGGGAAGAGAGAGAGAGAGAGAGAATCAAACACATCTACTCGGAGCTACACTTGAGATTTCACAACAAGCTGCAATTTAGTCCAAAATTACAACACCTAGAAGTAACTTTAACCATTTCATTTTTCTTTCTTTTCATTTCAGAAACGGAAAGGTACAGATAATGACACATTCAAGGCCATGCAATACGTCACAAGGGTATCCATCTCATTGTCCTCTTAGAGGTGCCCTGGTCATTATGGAAGATCATCTTTTGTCATTAAGTGGGAGGATCACCTTTATTTTCCCCGTATGACTTCTGTAGTGATTAGCGCTTGCTTTATTCCAGTCAGACGGGGAGAGTAATTACTCAACCTCTAGATAAAACACTGATGTCAGAGGTTCTCCATACATCTAACCGACACTCTCCGAAGCTGTAATGATTAGATAAGAGCACATATGAGTCAAATATAAAGCATACGACCTCCAGAACTTCCCAGGCAGCAACGTAAAAGACAAAAACTGCAGCTACAGAAACGCTACCCTTTCAGAAGGCAATTTACTGCTCAGCCAAAGATCACCCCTTCATTTCACATGATAAAATGAAATATTTTGACTTGATTTGTACAGTGGTGTGACAGCCCGCATCCTAAGACTCCCGAGGCGGGTGACACCACGGCCCTACGAGCGTGCAGTCAGGACATGGGACAGCAGAGCAGCTGACATTTAAAGGACAGATAGCTGGAGGGGAGAGATGGTTTAGGTGTGGAGAAACAACACTTCTCCCATGAGTTTCCGCTTCAGAGCTTTTTGAGCGACCACACAAGCATGCCAAAGCACTAGTAGCGTGTCTACTGTCAGATCCTCTCCTGTCTTTTTCCATCCATCTTCATTTTCCCATGGGTCATGCTACATGGAGTTTATTGCTTCTTTTAGAGGGGCAAACCAATGAATTTTACCTATGAATATCCAAATTAAGCAATATCACATAAGCATGCTGCACTGAATATCAGTACAAGAAATTAAAGGTATAGTTGACCAAAAAATTTGAAGTCTGTCATCATTCACAACACAAAATCATTTAAAAGCCAATAGAGTGGCAAAAGTGTTTGCCCACTTTTTCAGCAGCCTTGGTTCTGAAAGTATCTTTCCCATTCATTTTTCCATAGGGATTTTTAAAACATCTCCAGTAAAGAGTTAAAAGCCAAGAAGTAAACCAATCAGCTATGAGGTAAATCACAACATGACAAACGTTATTTTAAAGCAAAAACGTATCAGAAAATTGGACAAAAAGACAAAGGTGTAACGACTTTAGAGAGGAAAAGAACTACAATCCCATAAAGCATTGTGAATGACATGACTAAATTAAAAACAACAGGTAAATATAAAACTACTGACTTAAATGTTGATTGTATATATAAACAACATATTTTACAATTACTGCAAAATATGCATGTACTGTATATACAAATATTTAAGCATTCACAGTACTCAATGTCTAAATATTTTTTCCTCACAAATTATGCTGTTAAACAGGAATATTAAACAAATCAGTCAAAATACCACTTCAACAAAACCGTTGATCAAACTCGCAGATCACAGTAGGCTTGTCTGTTTCCCTATGGAGATAATCAATGGGATTTTTATTTCAGGAGTCAACATGAAACCCCATTAGAGTTTCACTGTATGGACAATGAAATAAATATTTTTCAAAATATCTTCTTTTTTTTTCATTTCACAGAAGAAAGCAAGTCATACAGATGTAAAATGAGGAGTAATTTATGACAGAATTTTTGGCTGGACTATCCCTTTAAAATCAAGGGTTTGTTTTTTTTAATCATTTTTTACAGTATAAAATACTTCCAAAAAAGCCCAGTCATCAAGCATTGTGTGTTGCCAACCAACATACATACAGCAGAAGAGAGGATGTGAGCAGAATGGACCCTGCTCACACAAAACAAAACAATCCCACTTCCACTCCATACCGCTCACACACACACCCACACACACACACACACGGACAATCTGAGTCATTCCAACAGTGAAAATGTAGTCCTAAAGGCGATATATCAGCACTCATAGAGCGCTGCACAGCCAATCAGATTCAAGGACCAGAACTGTCCATCTAAGCTAGCGGACAGTACATGACCACAGCTGTCTCATGGGAAATGTAGTCTCATCAATAAACCAAAAGGAAATTAAGTTTACATTAATAGAGTTTCAGGAAGACCTCAGGGTGAGGGAAAAAATAATAAAACCTAAGCCTCAAACACTCTAAAATGCATGTATCTTTGTCATTGGTCGTAGCACACATGCAGTTTGATATATAAAAGGATATGCACATATGTTCAACCCAGTGACAAGACACATCGAGTTTTGTATAAAATCTCACCCATCACTCCAGACCATTTAACACCACACATACATACACGTAATATATGCATCCGTCCTTAAATGCATTGTCAGATTTTTCTTTAAGCTACATACACTTTCAAACTATACAACAATGGCTATGAATTAGCTTTCAGTTTACCTGTTACATTAATAAAACTGGCCTCCACTCGTATCCTGCTATAATGGCGATGCACTGACACAAGCTTATTCGAGCATTAAATGAAAAGTCAAATCAAATGAACATTAACATTTAACATACAGTCCTCCTTTTTCCAGCCATCTGTCTCCCTGAGGAAACAGAGCATTTAGTAGTGGTATTTTCCAAGGCCCTGAGTTCGAAATGACTTCATTTGTTCATCTGAACCATTGGCAGCCCATCTATTCTCAATGCTCGAACGGTTATGTAATGTGATCAGCCCTCACGCCGTGCAGGTTTTGTTACTTAGTAAACAAGGGTAAATAATCTACTTGAAAAGGGGAAAAAAAGACATTGACATCATTATGTATATTTGGGGCACACAAAGCTACTCTTTATTGCTGTAGTGTCAGACTAACCTTTGAAGTCTTGTGCACTATTAGCAAAAATTGTCTGGTGAGATCCAAGAACACCTTGGAAACCAAGTAAGCCCTTTGTTATTGTGTTTTGCTGATTTAATTTTAATACTTCGGTGTTCCTCATTTCAAAACAGTGGCTCCATGAATGAAATGACAATCCCGCAATTAGGTCCTGACTAAACCACAACACAACTGACGTAATGTACAGAGACCCAGACGTCATGGATGGACAGTCACTACCAATCAAATGACAATGAAGTTCATCAACAGGTCAAGTCTACATGTGATATTCACCTGAATATTAAAAAAAAAACAAAAAAAAAACCTTAGGGGTGCTAAACATTACAGCAGGCTAAACTAAGATATTTGGAGATATTTGGAGTGTCATACCTAGAGTTGCTCCATTTGCACATGAATACAGTGACCAAGTCTAAGCTAAATGAAATAAAGAGCAAAGGAGTGCATTTTTTCTTCAAAGAGGAGGAATAATAAATCCTACTGCAGTCCAGTAACCATGCTAAAGAATATTCATGTATAAATAATTGATTCAGTTGCAAATCCAATCAACCTAGTTTTGTCAAAATGAAAGCTAAATATCACCGTCTTGTGTTTTCCTCATCTGACATGCCATCCGAGGACCAAAATATAGCAGAGGCTCCTGGGTTCTTGAAGAAGCATTTAAACCCCATGGCCTGTTCATCATCCTTTGTGTCTGGCTGTATTCAACACCCGTGAGTTCATGTAATCCACAGTCTAAAATCCTTTGAGGATGTTTTTTCTTTTCTTTTTTCTTCCTTTTTTTTTGTTTTTGTTTGCTTGGTTCTTTTTTCCGGAGCATACAAAAAGTCCCCTCCACCTAATCAAAATTATAAAAATGGAAGCCACTTGCAGGGAATAAAGTCACATAGAGAAATGTTCTTGGGTTGTGGGGAGGAGAACGGTTACCACAACAATGCGCGCCACCTATTCCTTGATCCAGAGCATATCAATAAAAAAATATCTGAGTAAAAACCTCACTGCTTTCTTCCAGCATTGACATCTTCAGTAGTTGTTACATTGAACTTCTTTGTAAAGAGACTCTCTCATCTCCTAATGCAAAAGGTAGGAGATTACATATTTCTACATTTGCACTTATATAAATATATAAACAATAATTTAAATAAACATGAATAAATAAATAAATAAATATATAAATAAATCTGAATAAATAAATAAATAAATGTATAAAAATTACAGACAGACAGACAGATGATAGATAGATAGATAGATAGATAGATAGATGACTTCCTCCCATTAAGTTCGGTCACTCTCTAAAACAAATGCTTTGCTTCAGATTGAATGTGGAACGTTGTTCTCTTTCCTCAATGATGTACAACACAAATACAAACAAACAAAATAACAAACGAACGAAAAACCTGTAAAAAGTATGTGTATACTGAAAGAGTTAAAATCCTAAAATCTTCATTGTAATGGAACTGCATTAAATCATTGAACACAACATGCCCTCTTTTAGAGAATCAATCTCTTTTACTGTATTTTTTTGAACTGTATCTCCTTATCTTTTCAGTTCCTCTATATATATGCTTGTAGGTGTATCTTTTTTTTTTCCTTTTTAACTAACTTTTAAGAAAACTCCCAGCATTCCGGCATACGGAAAGCTTTGCCTGTACTGTATGTCGTCTCCTGACCTGATTGTTCAGGCAGCTGTTTGAACAGTCCCCTTCGGTCTAGTCATGCTCTAAGGGGCCAAACTGCTCTCAGGTCTCTCTATCCAGTTTCTCTACAGTCCTGTTGGACGTTTACCACAAGCAAATACAAAATGGTAACAGGTCACAAATGAAAACAGGGAGATAGAGAGAGAAAGACTTTGAGATGGAATGCCACATGTCAAACTGCTCCCTGAAAAAAACAGAGATCGAGTAGTGGACCTTAGAAATAACTAACACTAGGTAAAGTTTCATCTATTTCTCCTGGAGCCCACAATTGTTATTTGGCTTGTACTTTCCCCGTCTTTTCCTTGTGCTGCCTCCGACTGACTCTCTCTTCTTGCTTCTCTACTTTCTTTCCAGGGGCTGGTGATTTTACCCTGTGGCTCTTTTATGAACACTTTTTCTTGGGTTGTGAGAGTCCCGTGGTCTAAGCTGCCCGTGCTGTTGCACTTTTTCACAGACGGGGGCGCTACAGAGCTCGGCAGAAGCAGCGACGTCAGCGACAGGCTGCTCGGCGTCTCTGAGAGCTGCTGGCTGTCACACGTCTGGTTAGAGCCGCACCGTACCATCCCTACATTCTCATCGGAGCCTTGCCGAGTTCTTCCTGCACTGATGTCCGTTTCACAGCTGCTCTTGCTGCGCTGGTGTCCCCTCGTAGTTTGGAGGTTCTGGATGGCTGGAGGACTGGGTCTCACGGTCTCCGTGGAGAGGCTGGCGCGATCGTTGAGGAGTGTGTCCAGCAGCGGCTGGGTGGTGGATACGATGAAACTGAGCCCTTCTTCCATGGTGGTCGGTAGGCTGCTCTCTGAGCTCCCCGTAGCCAGGGAGGAGTCACTGTGAGATGGATACTGGGGGCAGAGAGGTCGAGTTTTTAGCAATGAATTGATAATCAGTACGTTTAACATGGACAACAATACTCCGATATTAACATGATTAAGACAATACTCTACCATGTAAACAAGAGATTTTTGATTTCCTTAATCCGGCTAAAGTCATACTCTAAGTAAACACAAATCGTATTAAGACTTATTCCTATTTTAGTCGCATTATCGAAGTGCAGTATAGACAAGTATACTGACTTAATCACACTATTACCGTCGTGTAGGAGTTTTTGCCGCATTTTGTGACAGGATACACATACGGCAGTGGTCAACCGTTTGACGGCAAACAAAAAATTTAATTAAAACAACTTTCTCCAACCAGTCCTTACTTCGTATTCTCATCCAGTACCTCCGAGTTTGTAGTGGCGGCATGAATGAAACGTTGCCGAATGAAAGGGTAGCCTGTTTCTGGAGAATTTGTATCCGCCGTCGTCTGTTTGCATGTATTGCATGACAATAACTGCACTTGAAGCTTTCGTAAAATTAAAAATTAAACACCCAAAACTACGTCAGATGGCGTCACGTGGGGGCGTAAAACGTGTGCCATTAATCGATCTATGTACTATAACATGTAAAACGGAAACATGAAAGGAATATTCTAAAAGCAACTCTAGAATAAGGTAAATAAGGTAAACTATTTAGAATAAGGTAAATAATTCGATTACTGATGTCCATGTAAAAGTATTGAGTGACCCGCAATGTATAAGTTGTACATGTGTGTAAGATCAAACCTGTGTGGTGAGCAGCCTGGTGTTTGCTCCAGGAGAGCGTAGAGACGCCCATGAGGCTGGGGAAGTTAGCCGAAGCCCTCTTGGTTTGTGTTCCGGTCGGCCTCTCGGAGGTGCGGGGAGGGCCGCTGCAGCTGGGTGGAAGAATTCAGCAGGGAGACGGATGGGAGTGGTAGAGCGGCTCGAAGCTCCAGAAACCCCTGGGTGCTCCTGATTACTGCTGCTACAGGGAACTCCACCTGCACACAAATTCAGTTACTGAATTTAAACTGAGGTAGCAAACAGGATGCAGATTTGAGTTTGAACGTAAGGAAGTAGAATAACACTCTAACAATGTTGGTAACAAAAGCTGTAGGCAACATGTTTAGATAATCAAGTATTTGTTCAAATGCCTGTCCAAATGTTGTCCAAACTTTCAAAAATTAGTCACACTGAACAATGTTTTGAAAGTTCCCAGCATGCATTGCAGCTTGAAATAATTATGCGGTAACTATTATTAAAAAATGCCACTGGCTTAATATAAATATATATTTAGTATATATATTTCAAATTTAATAGAATTTAAAATCTGGCTTAATTTATGCTGATGTCACTATTGGCACTGTTAGTTAGCTGTCACATGGTTCAGAGTTCATATTTTCACTGAATTTATTTAATTTGTTGACGTTTGTGAGATGTGTGTAATATGTTTGCCTCTAGTTTTAAGAGGCAAATAATGCCTGGTCATGTCAATATAATGATGAAACAACAAGGTTTGTAGCTCACTGCATTGATAAATGCTAAACAGTCTTTTCAAAGTTTTCAGTTGTTAGCTGTTACATTGCCTTTTTTAAGTTAGGTCAACTGTTTTTGTAGTGTTCAATTCAAATTGTTAAAGGGATAGTTCACTCAAAAATGAAAATTCTGTCATTAATTACTCACTCTCATGTCATTCAAACCCGTGAGACCTTCGTTCATCTTCGGAACACAAATGAAGATATTTTTGATGAAATCCGAGAGCTTTCTGACCCTCCGTAGACAGCAAGGGTCCTACCACGTTCAAGGCCCAGAAAGGTAGTAAGGACATCGTTAAAATAGTCCATGTGACATCAGTGGTTCAACCGTAATTTTATGAAGCTTTTATTCATTTGTGTTCCAAAGATGAACGAAGGGTTTGAAATGACATGAGGGTGAGTAATTAATGACAGAATTTTCATTTTTTGAATTTAATGTAATAGGTTGCCTTTTTGAAGTTAGGTCAACTTTTCTAGTGTTGACCTAACACTAGAACTGTTCTAGTGTTCAATTCAAATTCAAAATCTTATTTGGAAAGTGAGACAATTTTTCTATTCTGAACTTTGCACAACTAATGTGCACAATACCTTTCTGGCTTTGTTCTCCAGTATCATTCCTGTAGGATGTGCCGCATTACCTATGCTGTGACGAGCAGGTGTGTTGTGATGTGGACTTTGAGAACCGCCTCCATTCACTGCCGCCCCATCCTCTGTCCCAGAGCTGTGAACCCAAGAGGCTCGCCGTAACCTGCTGTGACCTCTCCCTCCAGGTTCTTCAGTGTTTAGGCACTCATCACAACCCCTTTCCTGAGCAGAAATATTAGCAAGAGCTTTCAGGATCCTGGGGAGACTTTCAGGTCTCTTAAACGCTAACATCTTACTTTCTTGGTAAACTAAACACTTTTAGGCTCCCTGCATTCAGGGCTTCCCTCGATAACAGTAAAAGAGATTAAGGAACGATTAAGCTCTGCTTGATAATCTGAGCCATCTGCCTCACATACTGTCCTTTATTAGGTTTCTCTAACAAATAGCTAGAGATGTTTATGTCTGCTGAAGAATTAAACTGGTTGAGCAGCAGAGCTACATGCCCCATGAGACTGCAGGATTTAGACTAACAGCTTATAGTTATTTGATTTCTTCAGTCTAATTAGTGCTAGTCTGTGGTCATTCTCACTGATTATATATAATTAAAGGATCATTGTTTGGGATATAAGGGATTACAGCAGTTTATACATCAGATAGAGGTAAATCATTTCCAGGGGGACAGAGTTTTCATCTGTTACTGAGCATAAGCCACTATTAAGGGCATGAAAAAAAATTACATCAAAACTATATCAACTTCAAATGCTATCTCTTAAAAACACTCAAATAATTCAGCATTTATAATGTTACAAAAGATTTCTGTTTCATATAAATTATGTCCTTTGAACTTTCTGTAAATCAAAGAATCCTAAAACTATCATGGTTTCCACAAAAACATTAAGCTGCAGTGTTTTCAACTCTGATAATAATAAGAATTCAGCTTTGCCATCACAGTAATAAGTTACATTTTAAAATATATTAAAATAGGAAACAGTTATTTTAAACTGCAATACTATTTCACAATATTACTGTTGCATAAAATAAATGTAGCTTTGGTGAGCGACTTCTTTCAAAAACATTAAAAAAACATTCTGACCCCAGATAATTAAATGGTAGTGTGTATAACTCAAAAAGAGTGTTGTTGATTATTTCTAATTTACTTAGACAAAACAGTACAGCATTTTAATATTAGCTATTTATTAGTCATTGGCCATAGCATGAAAGTAATTATCAACAATCATCAATAATAAATACAGATATTAGCAAGAATCCTGAAGAGTGCCAATACCTTTAAACAGATTTTCAAATATTTCAAAGTGTAGATACTAAGATAATTGTAGGGGTGAAGCATTCAAAATGACAAAATCGTTTTTCTGAGAGAACGTTCACCTTGCCCTCTTTGACAGCCATCTGGTACATGCTCTGCTCGTCCAGGCTGAGGTCATCAGGCAGCGCTGATGAGGATGACTTATCTGAGAGCTGCTCCGACCTCAGAGACGCCTGCTCCAGTTCAGCCATGTGGATCTGCTGTGGGCAAGAATTTATAGCAATGAGAATTGAGAGGGTTTTTAATCATTAAAATCCTTCCCCACTATTTGGATTTCTGCAGACTTTTTCTATATGCCAGTCTAACAGCTTTGTGGAGTTTGCAGAGTGCTGAAATGAGTTTGAGTGATAAAACTGTGAACAGAGACTTTGGATTGTTGTGGACAGCATGGTTTATGTCTGACAACGTGAAGATGACTTTCCAAAGAAGAAATCTGGGTAATTCAAGAAGAGAGACGTTTAGAGTCAAACAGAGTGAGTGGGAGAGAAGAGCTTGCAAATCAGAGATGTATGGAGAGCAGAGACAGGGGAGTGGAAACAGACTGATGGACTGACATTGTTGGCAGCCTGGCAGAATGTCGGGATGACAGGTGAGGAGGTTATGGCTTGAATTACTTCTTTCCTAGAACTACCCCTGTCCTGTCCGTCACTGTGATGGGACACAAGCATTGAGAGATTTTGTGTGTGTACATTAAATAATGTGCTATAGTACAATAACATCAGTCAATCTATCTATCTATCTATCTATCTATCTAAAACTGAATTTAAAGTCATTCTCTATTTATTTGTGAAGATTTAGACTTAAACTCGAGTGCATTAGCAAACACTGACACAGCTCCAGTGTACCTCTTGCGGATGAGTCCTGCAGTCCTTGCAGACGGGTGGGGAGGAGTAATGATGGAAGACGGAGCCAGAGAGGTTGTCAATCATCAGCATCTCCCCTTCAAACGAATCTTTGATAAGCAGAGATACACTGTCCAGCCACAAGTTCTCCTGGGATACAAACACATATCACCAGAGTTAATAACACACAGTTATTAACAATAACTCACTAAAGTAAGTGCAGGGCCAATGACTGGGGATCTGGGAACACTTTTCCAAAATCTATGATGAGGGAGCACACTAAGTCTGAGTAGTTGGGAACTGTAATTCTATAACATTTGGATGAATTGAAGTATATCTTATAGGGATGCAACATTATAATTCAATATAAATAACAACAATATAACAAAAATTGAATCCTTATTTTTATATAAATAAATCCTGTAATATTGGCCAATATAACCATTCTGGTGCAATATACTGTGCATCCATGATAGCACACTTTGTAATGGTCCTTGCACTAGAAAATAGAACATCCTACCCACCTGTGCGCTCTCACACACACACACACACACATTAATGAGAGGGTAGGGTCAGAGAAAGGGTCTCCTTCACTGTCACAGGACTGGTCTTAATGACGGCGTTTGAGAGGACAGCAGAGCTTCAAAGAGCAGCTGTGCAGAGGGCTAAACCTGCACACACACGTTTCACAGTCACACACTCCACACACACTGTATCCGCTCAGCAAAATCCTTTGTGGAAAAAATTCAAAGCGATAAAAGTTCGAAAACACGTCTGAGGCACCTCAAAAGTTTTTGAAATTTGGCTCATCTCGAGGGCTCGGAACACGTAAACAAAAACCTTTCGCCCGAATCAATCAACGTCTGTTTTAGCTTCCCTCATAAATGCCACATCACTCACTGCTAATATCAAGATGATGTAAATGTGGTGCAAGTACAATTCCAGAACAATCTTCTGAGAGAAGGAATAAAGATCTGACCATTCAATATTCAGTTACCCAACAGAGCAATTTAGGAAGCAGTCAAGTGAAGAATCAATCTAACACAATCAAAATGTAGCGTTGTCTAATAGCAGTCATTTATTTCTCCAGGTAATTGTGCTCTTTGCGTCACTGCCAAATGCTTTTGATTTCCTACAACAATAAACAATTAAGTTGAAATGACTAATTTGAGTTAAATGAAAATTGATCAGGCTGGCCTGCCTGCTAATTCGAAGTGCACTTGGTTATTAGCAAGCAACCTCTCATGTACAATAAACAGGACTAAGAAAAGAGCTCTTACAAACACCAGCAAACCTCAGCACTTCTAATGAGAGTTTGACGGCAGGACTTCACACTTAAGGCCTGACACCAACTCACAGGCTGCTATTATCCCCTGAAGATCAGCACCTAGCAGTGGCCAGTGTTACAGGATCGCATACACCTCTGTCGTCCAGAGGTTTAAGTAACCAATTTATGGTTCCAGCCATGACCCACAGAGATAATGGCCCGCTTGGGTCTGGTTGCGGCCAATGCACAGGGCGATACGGTCACGGCCTGTAGTGCGAGAACAATCATTTTCAATATGGCTCTGATCACGAGTGCCACATTTATGGGTGTTAGAGTCTCACCTGCGCCGGCGTGGGTCATAATTTGTATCAGCCGGATGGAGTGGGGAAATGCTGTATAATTGGCAGGGATGTAGTTTTAATGACATTTCAACATATGGTAGTATCAGTGTCTCAGCATATGGCTACCTCAGCGCTCCTCAAATCGCAGGTCTCCATAAATCGAAGCGCAAGAGTGTGTACACCCCCAAACCATCTCATTTAATAAGCTTTCTGGCGGCTTCCTGGTGGCAAATCACTCAACACATGGCGCGAACAGGTGTGAATTCAAGGAAAAGCAGCATTTGCCGGTTTTGCACTTTTCTGAAGGTTGTGTTTTACAGGTAGATGAATCAACCGGAGACGGTCGTGAACTCGATACAAGGCGATACAAGGCACAGTCTGACTCTAGTCTGTTCGGCGCTTTCTCCTCTGCTGACTATAACTGCGGTTTTGCACAATGCTGATCATGAGGAAAATTATGTGTTACTGGGGACCTAATCAGTACATACTGTTTCCTCCCAGACCGACACATTAACGCAGACTGAGTCTCATTCACTAGCTGTGCATATGTGCGTAAAAACTGTGTAGCACGTTCTATCCATCCATCCATTCTTTTTATGTTTTTGAAAGAGGTCTCTTATGCTCACTAAGGCTGTATTTATCTGATACTTAAAAAATACAGTAATATAGTAATATTGTGAAATATTATAACAATTCAAGATACCTAATTTCTATCTGAATATACTTTAAAATGTAATTTATTTCTGTGACCTTTTTTTTCAGAATTCTTTTATAAAGTTAAAAAAGAACAGCATTCATTTCAAATATTTTTTTGCGACAATGCAAAAGTCTTTTTTATTTATCTATCGCCTAAATTCCTTCAAACTTAACGACTTTTAAAACTTTTTTTAAGTCTTTGTCAAGTCAACATTCAAAGTGATTCTTGAGAAACTTTTGCTTTTCTTCAGTTTGAGTTTCTTTGAAGTCGATTCATTTTAATTCTATGTCTTTACATTCAAACTGGTAAAGATCGCAATTCTTCATCCTGTTTCCTCAAATAAATTCTTAATGATACACAACCCTGACACTAACCACATGAAATGGAAATAACAAAAGGCATAATGCAACTCAAACCACACATACACAAAAATAACAAGGCATAATGACATGAAAAACAATTCTATACAGACATGCAACTAGCTCTGTTACCCATTTTTCAAGGATACGGTAAAAATCAAATATGCATACTCGACAGCATCATCTGGTCTTACGGGTTTAGAACGACAAGAGGGTGAGTAATTAATGACATAATTTTCATTTTTGGGTGAACTAACCCTTTAAGGACGAGAAGAGCTGTTCAGCAGAAATGCTGCACTCAGTGTGTCAGTGTGCAAGGCACAATTCAGAAGCGATGCCTAGAGTGGGAGTGACTTCCCACTGCATTTCAAATATGTTCTGTTATAAATACACACTGAACTGTGCTTGAACTCGGGACGTAAACCTCTCTTTCACAATCTGCTGCTCAGTTTTAGCAAGCTTAACCGGTGTAACAAATAACAGTATGTTTGAACTGCCAAATCAGTAGCCAATGCAGCTTATCTTTGGATAAATACAGTAAGAACAGTAGAAGATAAGGAAAAGTGCAAAATATATTCAAATATTATTCCAAAATACATACAAATCTAAAATCATTATTATAAAGTGTAATTAGAGTAAAATAAGATTACAAGAAGTTCAAGTTTAGTAAACATATGGATATGTGTGTGTATATATCCATCCTAACACCCAATATAAAAACAAAAGCAAAAATGAAGCTCATTAATGACACATTTGCATTCCTCGTGTCTCTAACCTTCTTCCGTTCTGCTCTCTCTCTCTCTCTCTCTCTCTCTCTCTCTGAGGAGATGAAATGCTTTCAGTCTGCTGACATGGCTTCTGCTTGAAGTCAAACTAGTTTTTCCAATTCCTGTTTTGCTGACTGTCATGCATACCTCTTTCCTGTCTCTGTGTCTGTCTTTGTCTCCTCCTCTCCATCTCTCAGCCCCAAATCTGCAGGTAGTGATAAGGACTGAGCTCACTGCATGGGAAAGCCGCTGCTGTCTAGTCTGTGGTGTTTGTGTGCGCCTTTATGTTTGTGTGTGTTTGTCACTATCGAGCCGAGACCCTGAACAGGTATGGGACATCACTTCCTGCAGGCAGTGATCTGTGTCTTTGGATCTTAGTATTCAAATAAACTAATACCAGCACTGGGGCTAGTTTCAGCACATGCCCGCACTGCGACAGCTGAAGTAATGAGACATAAGGGTATCGAAAAAGTCTTTTGAGAGTTTTGGAGACTTATTTGGCTCCATTCACTAGACTAAACTTCTAAGGAGAAAATGTGGAAGAATTTGCTTGAAAGATTACCAACAGCTTCAAAGCAACAGCTATCTGGACTGATGTGGCACTTTCCATGAATATGGTACACCCATATGGTGTCCAATACTGTTTTTCATCAAGCATCAAGCACCCAAACCTCATTTTCTCTGACAACAAGTAGATATGTTGGACTTGACAAACAGTTCGTTTTATCTATCCTCTCTTGCTATTCAATTTATTGTGATAATTTTTTTTTAATTAACTAATTTATATACCAAAAGCATACATATTTAGCCATTTTCCACATTTTAAATGTTATATGATATCGGTTCATGACAAAAAAAAGTTATATTTCTTAAAAGTGTCTAGAAATAAAATGTCAGTAAAATAAATAAATAAATAAAGCAAAATGGTGGTAAGGCAAGTAAACATTTTCATTCCATTTTCTACGTTTTTACAAAATATGTTGATCACAAACGGTCAACAGCTCATCCTTTAAAACTGCAACCAAATGAAATATGAAATGTATGAAATAATAAACTTTTCATAAATTATATTTAAAAAAAAATTGTACTTTAATAATATAATATTTAGCTAGCTAGTCTCTATATGAAAAATAAACATGTATTTTTTATATATTTCTATACAAAGTGACATATCTGGCTATATTCATTTAATTTTAATTTTAATTGAATTCTATTACATTAAAACTGCTTACATGGCAAACTTCATAAAATTATTAGAAAGTAAAACAGCTAATATAATATTTAGTTTGACCTCCTGAGACTGACAATTAAGGTTTTCTGAAGGTTAAGCATTTTCTTTTCACTGACCATTTGTTAAAAAAAGAAAAGAAAAACAATTCTTTAGTGTTTGTATAAAAAACTCCAATTTGTATAAAATAAAAATAAAACCCTGCAATGAATTCAACTCTTCAATTAGCATTCCGTTCCTCCTTTTTCCTCTTCTCTCGGCAGTTACATAATCTGCTGCAGAAGCTAAAAATGGACAATTAAAGACAATTATAGCTCCACAATAGCTGCCTGACAGTGAGTCATCACGGCGTGCGTGTGTGTATGTGTCTGTGTGCACCACAACATTTGTCAGTATTCTGTTTTTAGCAATTCAGTCATGCATGTGCGGAACTTTTCTTTCCTGGTGGATCTGGTTCAACAGTTAATCATTTGATCCTTAACTTAATAACAAAAGGTGATTAATTGTAGTTTAGCGTGTTTACATATCTAAGAGAGCATTGCAGACTGACACAATGTGTTGCCATGGCGACAGGACCCAAGCTGGGGTGAGTCCCGAGGCTCCATAATGAAAACGTCTCATTCTGAGGCTTCTCCTTCCCCCTTATTATGCCTCTTTTGTCCTTTTTAGCAGACCCAAATCATACTCTAACTTCATGAGCAAAGGGCACTAACATTTTTCCATGCATGAAGAAAATGATTGCTACAAAACACTACAGACACCACACACACACTCACACGTACAATGCTTTCAGAAATGCTGCAAAAGTTTGGTCACTTGACCATATATATAGATATATATATAGATATATAGATAGAAAGTGTCCATTATATTCAGTTTGTGCATGTCAAAGAGGCAGGTAAAATGAAATGAATATTTTTTTGAATAAAGCAAATTTATCCAAGTCTCTTGTGCTCACCAAAGCTGTGTTTACTTAATCTGTATACAGTAAAACACATAAAAAATAGTAATATTATGAAATATGATTACAATTTATTTGATTGTTATTACAAATTAGGTGTTACGTGTTATTATAATTTATGTGAAGGCAAATTACTCTAGTCTTCAGTGTCACATGGTCCTTCAGAAATCATTCTAATATGCTGATTTGTTGCTCAAGAAACATTTCTTATTATCAATGTTGAAAAAAGTTGTGTTGCTTAATTTTTTGAAACAGAATCCTTGTATTATTTCAAATAGATACATAAATAAATAAATAAATATATTGTAAATAAATAAATAAATCTTTTGAATGGTAAGGTGGGGTAATGTAAGATTTATAATAATAGCAGGGATGCATTAAATTGATCAAAAAGGAGAGTAAAGACTTTTACATTGTTATATAAAATGTAGACCCCTATTAAATGCATATAAATAAAATGTAGATCCCTTATTAATATTTTGAATTTACATTTTGGGATTGAATTTACAGCATAAATATAACCATATTGTGATATTGGATATACCATAAATGTGATTTAAACTCACTCCTTGCTACAGCCATTCATGCATGAATACATCCAACCAAATCACATATTCAACAATTCATTCATCCATTAACAATCAGTCAATCTATCTATCTATCTATCTATCTATCTATCTATCTATCCCATTATCACTCCAATCATCAATCACATCTACAGTATCCATCATTAATGTGGCCATCCATTCAGTCAAACCTTTTCTTAATAAATACATTCCTCCTTCTACAATCTATCCGTGCATATCTACAATGCATCCATCATCCATTAGTCATCAACACAGTGACAATCTATTCTTTCTTAATTTCAACCAAATCATCAATTCATCAATCCAATGCTCAATAACCCAATCTCTTATCTACCATCTAACCGAATCATAATATTCATGAATGCATTCATCCATCAATAAGGTGTTCATCAGTCTATCCATCCATCCCCTGCCATCACTGTGTGTGTCGTACCTGGGCTGGTGAGTAGAGTTTCCTGGCGCTGTTGGGCTCGTGGACCCCTGGGAGTGTGTTTGGGGAGTGAGGTGGAACAGTAGAGCTGGGTCCAGCCCCCTGATGCCCCCCACTGCTCCTCTCCGCTCCAGACCCTCCTCCTCCGATGCAGCAGAGCGTTCCCTGGGCCAGCTCCAGCTCAATCTCCGCATCCATCTCTGCCTCCTCCTGGGCTTCTTTGTTGGAGTCGTCCAGGTGTTTCATCAGCACTGCCACGACCACATTGATGAGAACAAACTGGGCCGTGAGCACAAAGCTCACAAAGTACAACGGAGAGATGAATTGTAGGCTGGGATTACAGGCGTATTCGCCTGGCGGGCATTCTCGAAGAGTGTCCTACAGGAGTGAAGAGAGAGTTATGATAAAGATATTTGAACTTCTACCACAGTTAGTTACGTTCAATTCATTTGACTGGACACATCACACTTCATTTAGATCTATTTTCATTCATGGAGTACAATAGGTGGACTGCAGTGATCAGCATTTCTGTAATTAGATTTTTTTGTCTTGTTTTCAAGTTAAAATAGCTAAACATCCTTAAAATACTATTTTAAGATTATTTTAACTGAAACAATTTATTACATTTTATACTGGAAAACAAGACAAACATACTGAATAAATAATTTTTGCATTGTGTCTGATAGGTCAAACATACAAAATAACGTTTTTTTATGGAAAAAAAGACATTACACTTGATAAACTGCACTGTAATAAGTCGATTTCTTAACCAGCCTCTTTGTTGTTGTTGTTTTTTTTCCAGAGGAAAAAAATCTTTAAAATAAGACACATTTACTTGTAGTTTTTTCTTCTTCTTTTTAAAATCATAAGCCTAACAAGTGGTGTTTAAACTTAAAATGTTTATTGTGACGAGAGGGGCGGGGCCGAGAGCCGTGGGAACGGAGCGAGGCCGGTGGAGTAATTGCTCAGTCGTCCGCGAGGGGCTGCCGCTTTACTTTCATTTTGTGTTTGTTTATTTTATTAAAGTCTTTAAATGTTAGCCGGTTCCCGCCTCCTCCTTCCCGTGACTACGAACTTTGCTACATTTATGTTCGAATGGGGTAAGAAAAACTAATTCAGTTCAATTCACACATTCTCTTAAAACAAATATAATATAAAATACAATACAATACAATAATCTATGTAAGCTTGTTTGCACCATGGGATAAAAAAGGTAATTGCTTGCATTTGCAAATTTATATCTCACAATTCTTATTTTTATAGATATAAAACAATCTAAATTGTGACAGAAGTCGCAATTACCTTTTTTATTTTTTAATCCTAATTTTAAATACAATTGATTAAAATTGTATTTAAAAGTCCATTAAAATTTTAGCATCAAAAATTTCTGCAATTTTTACATTGTGTCTCAAGTGTCAAACTCAGAATTTGCTTGTTTAAAAAACTGTTGTTTAAAGGGGTCATATGATGCGATTTCAATTTTTCCTTTCTCTTTGGAGTGTTACAAGCTCTTGGTGCATAAAGAAGATCTGTAAAGTATTTGGCCAATCACAACGCACTGGATAGCTGGCTAATCAGAGCACACCTCGCTTTTCAGACCGATTAGTTTTGTAAAAATCGACGCGTTTCAGAAAGGCGGGGCGTAGAGGAGAAACAATAACGTACAGTATGTGGAAAATAATGTGTTTTTTGAACTTTAAACCGCATAAACACATTTCATTACACCAAATACACAAAATAATGTTCTTTTTAGCAGCATCATATGACCCCTTTAACAGCAATGTGGTTGTGCACTGAACACTTGACACCCATTTCTGAAAATAATACTAATTACATCAATCAAACACTAGCCATTAAATGATAAAACCATTTTCCATGGCCTCGACTTCCTAGAGGCGGCAGATAACCAGTTAGTGTGACAACTGTCTTCCCCTTCCTCCTCTTATCATCTGCAGTTTGATTAGCATGAGCTATAGGAACAATAAGAACAAATTCCAGAATGCCTATTTCATTCTGATTTATTTTGATATAACATAAACGCTCTCTTTTTTTCCCCTCCAAAGCTGCCGTGAGTGTGAGGCAGATGGGCACAGGCTCTGGCAGTAATTTTGCTTGGCCACTCATGCGTGTGGTTGGGGTTCGGGGAGGCGGTGGCTTCTCTGCAGGTACGTAAGAACTCGGGTTGTAATTTACAGCTCTGATTATGGTGCTTTAGCTGCCAGGAGACCACTGCAAGCCTCCGTCAACCATAAAACTCATTGTGTGTGTGCCTAATGGGGGGAGCCTGTCACCCTCCATCAAACATACCCTCTGGTGTGTGCGAGGCGTTACTCATCGATATCGCGCCAATGTGTTCTCATTTATTCAGGTGCGCTTTACTACTGCGCTGAATATGCTGAGCTGGTAGTTCCTCCATCATATACCTCTCATATAAATGCCAGGTTGGAGGGAGGGGAGATGAAACGTGACAGGTTGTCTTTACACAGGCCGATAAGAACTCATTGCTCAAAGACAAGTGTATTAGAGATGAGAACGACACAGGAGGACGAGAGAAACAATGATGAAAGAGGCTATGATGAAATACCATATAAAGCAAAAGGAGGGATCAAGAAAAGTGCAGAAAAATGGTGAGAAAAGACTGTAACATTGTAGATTTATAAGCCGCTACCTCAAAGGACTCCTCATGGCAACCTATCCTGGTCTCTTTACTGCGGTGAAACATCAGAAATCATAAGCGTTTTGCTTGTGAATGTTTCTTAAGTGTCTAGTTGTCAACTTCCTCTGTTGAATATTCTGTGCTTAGTGGGTGCCAATCACTTACGATGGGCACCTTTTGCCAGGGCTGATTTGGTTTGCATCACTTTATGAAATAGCAGTGTTATATCTAATACAGAAAAGGCAAGTTTTCACTTCATTCGGTTTTGTTTTTTATGCTATAAAGAATGCAGATACAGCATTGGAATATGTTATTATATATTGGAATATTTTGCTGAGCGGTCGCTTCAGTTCTCTTCAGTGCCAGAAAGTGACAACAGCAATGATCTCTGGTCTTTTTTTTTTTTACAGTGGAATAATAAACTAAAATGCAAAGATATGTATTCCTGTTGCTGGTGCAGTATAAGCCTAATGCAATTATGGCTCTGTTTATTATGGTCTTGAACTCCTCATACTCAAATCTAAATCATATTTGGTTTTGAACTGCTGATCCATGCATTTATCCACTAATCTACAAAATCCCAGGAACAACAGTGGCAGATGTAGGGATGAAGATATCAAATTAAACATGCCAGCTCATTTGAGCTCTTGAAACGGGCAGCAAAAATGACTGTTCAGCTTATAAACATGAACCTATGATGGTCAAAAATCAGCCACTGAATAATTCATATTCATTGGCTAAGTATTCTCCATTTCTGGTCATCTGTGCACCTACACTAACATTAAAAAGTTTGGTGTCAATATGATTTGTAGAGTTATTTATTTATTTAATGTAAATGTATACTTTTATTAAGCAATGACACATTAAATTGATTAAAAGTGACAGTAAAAACATTTATAGTGTAACTTTTTAAAATTTTAATTTTTCAATTCCTCAAAGAATTCTGAAAAATGTACCATGGTTTTCACAAAAATATTAAGCAGCACAAGATAATAAATGTTTATTGAGCAGCAAATCAGCATATCAGAATGATTTCTGAAGGATCATGTGACTCTGAAGACTGGAGTAATTCAGCTTTGCATCACAGGAATAAATTACATTTTAAAATATATTAAAAAAGAAAACCTTTATTTTAAATTGAAATGATATTTCACAATATTGCTGTTTTTTTAACTGTATTTTTTGGTCAAATTTTAAAACCTTCAGTTTACTAACTGTCCCTAACTCTTTTTATAATAAAGTGACACTCGTACTATGGCCTTTTGTTCTGTTGTACCTTCATTATGCCGTTCCAGTTGTCACCAGTAGAGACCTGGAAGAGGGTGAGGAACGCCATGCCGAAGTTCTCAAAGGTGGCGTGCCGACTCATGCCCTCACATGGATAGTCCTCGTTGCACACTGCAGGGAACAGACAGAGCCATAGAGAGAGTTTGTATTGTTGAATACTATGCTTTGTGAATGTTTGTTATCACCTAAAAGTTTTGTCTCAACGGTACCTATGCAGTCATGCCAAATTCAGCTTTGAATTCAGAAGAATTGAACAGACAGAAAACCAGTGAGGTAGAGAGAGAGAAAGGGTTTGGAATGAAAATAAGCATCAGAAGGAGTAAAAGATGAGTAGTATGTGTTTACCCAGCTCTCCAAACAATTCCACCCCCAGTGCAGCATAAATGAAGAACAGCAGCATGAAGAGGAGGCCAAGGTTCCCCACCTGAAAGACACCAATCAAGACTGAAACCAGCGCACATGCACTCAATCCTTGACACAAAATACAGGCAAGCATGCCGTGATATATTTACACTGAATCATTTAGCAGACGCTTTTAACCATGCAAATAACAATTAAAAGCCAATGGCGGTACCACAATTTGAATTGAGCTAAAGCTAGTGGGCAAAATGTTGTAGTTTTGGACTAAATCTCTCTAATCTTAAATTGTTAAATGGGGCTGCCCTGTATTCAGTGCAAAATTAATTTTCTTTTCTTTTCTATAGTTTAAAGAAGATGGATCACATTTCCAAGTAAAACACCTTTACCCTCACATTAACCCCACAGTGCCTTAATAAAAAAGACATTACCCCTCGTTTTATGTTTAAACCTTACTAAATTTTCTTATATGATATTTATGCTTAAAACAAGAACCAAAAAAATCTCATTATTTTATGCAGTTTTGCTTCTCGTATATATATTTCATGTTATAACAATGTTTATACATTTTTCTCTAAAAAAGAAAGGGGAAAAATGATTAAGAACATTATTTTTGCAGTGTTTCTAAGATTACTAAGATGAAGTTTCTAAGATGAAGACATTACCCTGAGGTTTAATACAGATGGAAAAGGTGTCTGGAACAGACGTAACAATAACAAAAAGCAATGTAATGTACATTTTAATGTCTCTGCCCCTGCAATTTGCGTCTCTCAGTAGACACAGTCTGTATCTGTTCCCCTGCAGCAAAATGAAGCAGAACAAATTTGTGATTTAACAAAAAGCTCATAAATGATGGATGGAACCAGCGGTAATGTCAGAGGTACAGCTCTGGGAACAGAATTAACTCTCTTAATGGAGCAAATGAACAGTGTCCTCATGTGGCCAGAGCAAGGCTCACCACGCTAACGCTAACACACTAGCCTGTCAACAACATGTGTCTGGGAGTTCAGGGTGTGTCCACTACAGCACAGGCATCTCAAAACAACACAAAACAAAGAGATGAGATAAAACCGAAGGCGACAAAGAATATGGCACAGGCGCTAACAGCTGGCCTAAAGTGCTAGTAATTAAGAAAACAGTGTGAGGGAGCTATAAACGTGCAAAATGGTGAATAAAACAATCAGCTTAGATCGCATTAATGTAATTTGTATAGTTACACGGATGCGGTTGGTCGTGTCGTTTTATGCAGCGTGCCAGCGGGTTTGATAAAACAACAGCTGAGCTTTATTACCATTTAATGCTAAGTAATGGCCTATCAAACCTACAAACCAATGCTACAAAATGACAAAGACATACAGGCTTCAAGATGTTAGGGGAAACATTATGACTTAACAGAACCAGGCTGTGTATAAAAGCTGCAATACTGCATCATTTTTTTTGTTCCTAAAGTGAGCCTCTCTGGCAAATCTACAATGAGCCTATGATGGTATGATCGGAAGTGTTTTACAAGCCTGTGATGCACAAAATAATGGTCAGCTTACAAAATACTATAGTACAGTGATGGTCTCAAGATGGTAAATTCACACTGTTTGGTATACTGTGGTACTGAATGATTACTATATTCATGTAACACAGGCTCTTCAAGGTCCTCGAAAGAATACCATGTTACTATGTCTAAAAAAAGTTTCATTCTATTATTGTCATTATTAATACTTTTATTCAGCAAGGAAACAATGAATTGATCAAGTGACAGTAAAGACTTTCGTCAATTACTTTCAAGTAAATACTGTTCTTTTGAACTTTCTATTCAAAGATTCATGAAAAAAAGGATCACATATCAACTGTTTTAATAAGAAATGTTTCTTAAGCAGCAAATCAGCTTATTAGAATGTTTTCTGAAAGATTGTGTGACACTGAAGATTGGAGTAATGATTGGTGAAAATTCGGCGCAGAAATAAATGACATTTAAAAAAATATATTAAATTAGAAAAGTGTTATTTTTAATTATAATAATATTACACAATATTACTTTTACTGTGTTGTTGAATGAAAAAAAATGCAGCCTTGGTGAGCATAAGAGACTTCTTTAAAAAAAAATCTTACAGAACCCAGACTTTTGAACAGTAGTGTACATCTCTGGCTTAAGGTATGTCTACTGCAAAACTGCATCTATTATTAATTTGTCATTTTTAAACACCATATCAGCAGCAAGGCTATCTTCATGGTGAGAATAAAGTAAAATGGACAAAAAAACTGTTACGATGAATCACTTGTATTCCTTATTTGTAAGTTGCTATGGATTAAAGCGTTTGCTAAATGTTTTTTAAATAAACCAGTTAAGCATATCTCTGAGTAAAAATATTGTCTATTTATATTAAAAACTGCAGTCCTGTAAAATGTTTATGCAAAACTAAATCTATACGAGGACCATAAGAAGGTTAAATAATATAGGCTAAACTATAAAAGCCAATCTGAAGCCTACAGGGAATGAACAGTATCTGTAAGAGAGTTGTAAAGGAAATGCACAGGAGTTTCTGGAAGGATGTACTAAATAAGAACTGTGTGTGGTGGGACTGAGTGCCTGAGTGGCTCTTTAATCAGCTGCAGTGTTAATTACCTCACAGATGCCATGGGGATAAGACATTGGGCCCAGCAGTAATGAACAAGGGATCGATACCCACAGAGGAGTGACACTTTACTCCACCCTGGAGATGTCTAGCCAGCACTCTGTGACCACTTAGACAGCAACAGCGTTCTGTGTGTTTGATTATGAAAGCGTTTGGATTGCTTTATGAAGCATGTGTGTGTGTGTGTGAACCGCTTTCTTTTCACATTACCTGTCATCTTTCTTCAAACTATTCCTCAAACTTATATGGGCGATTAAAATTATGGATCTCGCTACACTAGAGTTTCAACTTCTTCTTTAGGAGAGCTTTTATTTGACTCATTCCTTTTTCATGTCTTTTTATTTGATTTTATCAGAGAAGGAAAAGGTCAGGGCTAAAATTAAACCCTCACACTGCCGCCGGCTCCCCCCCGTACAGATGTAGAGTGATGGCACACTGACTCAGTGATGGCTGTGGACAACAGCAGGATTAAATACCAGATTAAACTCTAGACAAACAGATCAATCCTCAATAATGCAGCACCACTGACCTGTGCAAAATACCATTTTGGTAAGATGGAGTCGATATTTCTAAGGCTCGTATTGGGTAATGAGGCGAACGTAAGAGTCATTGGCTATTAGGGGCTTATCAACACACGGGCCACTGATCAGGTGTTAGAGGCAAATGGGGAGGAGAAAATGAGAGATTTGGGGAGACCAATTGAATTTGGCACTGGAGTTGAGTATTAAAGCAACTTTTCGTAACAATATTCTGTACATGAAGGGAGCTCATTTGTATTTCAGGCTGGCTGGTTGATTAAAAGATTAAACAGTGCACTGAGAAGGGAAATAAAGCCTTTTGATCTGATCTGGCGGACACTGCAGACAAAATAAATAGATTTTTGTCATTTATTAGGATAACTGATTAAAAAATTGATTGGCGGATATGCTAAAACACATTTGGCTGTGGTGCTCATGTGGGGGATCAAATTCAAATCTGGCTCGCAACATTTCCCAGGCTCATTCCTTCTCTCACTCCCCATCATTTCCTGTTCCTTTGCTACTTGCCACTCAATAAAAGTGAAAAAGGGCTAAAAATAAATAAAAGAAAGATAAAAGTCAGGAGAATAATGGCTGTGGTGTGTGACAATAAGCACTCGCGGAGATTACGGCAGAATGGATGTGTGGCAGGGGCAATTCTAGGATTTCAGTCTTATCTGAACAAGACCTGATGTGGGTTACAGAAATATTTCTTGCTTCAAGAACAAGAGGTTCAACTTGCTCCACTGATATTCAAATAAACCAATCATACTGCATGTATTATATATATATCGCTAGAAGTATATCAGTTTTCACTGACTATAGTAAAGGACTACTTATTCTTTTTATATATATATATATATATATATATATATAAAATTATATATAAATAAAACATTTAAAATAAATTAAACATATAGAAAGATACCATTATTTTTATTTTTGGCCCTGTGTGTTAATTACCGTAATAATATAGTAAATTATATATATGATTTGCTGCATATATATATATTACTAGCATCATGTTCCATGAATTGCAATATAACAAAGAGTGAAAAATTTAAGGGGGTCTGAATACTTTCCGTACCCACTGTATATATATTACTAGCATCTTTATTTTTATGTGATATTTCATAATTTCATAAACTACATAAACTGAAAAATCTAGATAAGCTAGTTGGCCTCACTAATCGAAAAGTTGGTTGTGGGATGACTGGTCGACCATCATGACCCATTGTTGCTGATGAGACAATTCAGAGTAAAAAAAAAAACAACCCTTATGTATCTTACTGAAGTCTCTGTTTTCGGCAAGCATGAGGAAAGTTAGTTTAATTACATATTTTAAGGGGTCTGACAGTTTAATTATGTATTTAGGGGTGCTGAAACGTCCAGCAGCAGCTATGATGAGTGCTGTTAGCCAGTGGTCAGTGTCTGTGTTTGTATAACTAACCACGTGCGATGCGCAGGACCCTCATGATGCGTATGATGGTGGGGTTGATGGGCAAAGCAGCACTGATCTCGATCTCCTCCAACGTGATTCCCATGACTGACAGCAGCACTATAGCCAAATCCAGCTGGTTCCACCTGCACACATTCACAAGGGACAGATTTGCTCAGTTATGCAAAAATTCAACTTTCATGCACTCTGAATCCAACTTTTCCCTCTAGTTTCATTCCACTCTGGTCATTTATTCCTCCAGAGAGGTGGCTTTAAAGAAATTAACATTTGAAGCTCGGTCTGGTCAAACAGGCGGCTTGGGACCTGAATTGTTGCTGGGGACCACTTAATAAGACACAATTAGGGAGAATTAAGGACCCACTCCAGCATAGGTGACCTCATTCACTAATGCAGGACGAGGGACGGCTCGTTTTTACACTACAGCACAAATCACAGTCGCCCACATCTGCAGTGCTGGAACCAGCCGCGGCACACCTGTCTGTGCACACACCTCTGCCATCCAGCTCGTAATTGTGACCTAGTTAAGAGGCACGGAAAACTACGACAATAAATAATGGCTTGTTGAAAAGCTTTCTGGTGTCAGACCCGAATATGCGTGAATAAAAAAAGACAAAGTGCACTGCGGTCTGAGCCTGTTGCCATCCAGCTCGTAATTGTGACCTAGTTAAGAGGCACGGAAAACTACGACAATAAATAATGGCTTGTTGAAAGCTTTCTGGTGTCAGACCCGAATATGCGTGAATAAAAAAAGACAAAGTGCACTGCGGTCTGAGCCTGTTTTTTTTTTTTACTCTTTTAAATGGGTCAATACCATATATTCTAATAAAGCTACAAAATGCCAGGACATTTACACCCTGTGCTTGCTCAATGCAGCTTGATACATGTCACTATTAGTTTATGACAAGCCAGAGGAACCGCTCTTGTAGGCAGCCTAATGATAAGTAGGAGTTCTATTAGGGAAACAAACACAGGAGAGAGATTTCATTAAACCCTTGAGACAAATAACCACGTTCGCGCTCGCTCTTCACTGTAGTCTGCTGCGCTTTGTTGTATTAACATCACACAGGGCTAATTTCATTTCCATCTGCGCCGTGAATGCAACAGCAGATGCAACGTTTTGCCAATAACACACCCTCTAGTGACTCTAGAGAACAAACTAAGAGGATTCGGTCAGGTGGAATCAAGATCGAATGAATTCATTAAATCAATTAGCGATCGGAGGAGAGGAAACGTGAGGAGATGAAAGGTGAGAAGGGGAATGAACTGAATACCTGTCTTTGAAGAAACGTCGGAAGCCAAATGCAATGAGCTTCAGGACAGCCTCCAGCACAAAGGTGCTGGTGAAGAAATAATTACAGTACTTGAGTGTGATCTCCAGAGACTGGGGGGGAAGGAAACATACAGACGGAGAGGAAGCCAGAGAGACAGAGGAAGAGAACAAGAGAGGTGTGAGTGATTAAAAGACTTTCGCCTCGGGTTCATAAAGTCAGCCAAACCAGTCATTTTTACATTAGCAATATAACAATATCAAGTATTCTACGAATGTTCAGGTAAAGCTTAATATATTGAGACAAGCTGCATGCATTCATCAGACTCTAAGTGTTTTTAGAGCAGTTTCTCAAATTCATGGACCCCCAGGATGTCAAATCGCCAGAGGGACAGTGGGAAACTTCTGAATTATGAACAAAAAGGTTTCACAGAATACACGGATGCAAAGTGATATAAAGCCAAATCAGCAATGATGGCTGTAAGGATAAATGTGACCCTGGAGCACAAAACCAGTCTCAATTTCGAAAAATTGACCCTTATGACTGGTTTTGTGGTCCAGGGTCACAAATATATACATACAGTCATGTGAAAAAGAAAGGACACCCTATTGATTTGCATGGTTTTCCGTATCAGAACATAATAAAAAAAATAATCTGGTCCTTGTAAGGTCTTAAAATCTTAGAGAAGCAATTGTTGCTGTCATCAATCTGGGAAGGGTAATATGGCCATTTGCAAACAATTTGAAGTCCATCATTCCACAGTGAAGAAGATTATTCACAAGTGGAAGACATTCAAGATCAATCTTCCCAGTAGTGGATTTCCCAGAAGATTCACCCCATGGTCAGACCATAAAACTCTGACAAATTGCAGACAACCCAAGAGCTACACCTCAGACTCTACAGGCCTCAGTTAACATGTGAAATGATAAAGTTTGTGACACTACAATTAGAAAAGGACCAGACACGTATGGCATGTTCGGGGTTGTCCAAAGTGGAGATGTTTGACCATAATGCACAGCGCCACATTTGGTGAAAGCCAAAAGAGCTTATCAGCACAAACACCTCATACCAAAAGTCAAGCATGCTGGTGGATGGCTGATGATTTTGGGCTTGTTTTGTGGCCACAGGACCTGGGCACCTCACAGTCATGAACTCCTCTATATACCAAAGTATTCCAGAGTCAAATGTGAAAACATCCGTCCGACTTAGCTTTAGCTTGGCCAAAATTGGGTCATGCAACAGGACAATGATCCAAGCACACCAGCAAATCTACAACAGAACGGCTGAAAAGAAAAGAATCAAGGTGTTGGAATAGCCCAGTCAAAGTCCAGACCACATCCTGACTGAAATGCTGTGGTGAGAGCTGTGCATAAACAAATGCCCAAACCTCAATAAACTGGATCAACGTTGTAAAGAAGAGTGGGACAAAAATCTTCCAGAACAATGTGAGAGACTGATAAAGTCATACAGAAAATTATTACTTCAAGTCATTGCTGCTAAAAGTGGATCTACAGGTAATTGAATCATAGGGTGTCCTTATAGTTTGTCACCCATGACTTTCATTATTGGCTTTATTTTTGCTAAATAAATAATAAGACTGTATGATATGTCATTTGCTGTTCATCTGAGATTTTATTTTCCTGCTAAGGGCCAGATGATTTTTTTATTATGTCCTCATACAGAAATCCATGGAATTCAATAGGGTGTCCTTTCTTTTTCACATGACTGTATATATATATATATATATACACACACACACACACACACACTACTGTTCAAAAGTTTGGGGTCAGTAAGAATTCTTTTTTAAAGAAATTTCTACTTTAAATTAGCAAGGATGAATTAAATTGATCGAAAGTGACAGTAAAGATGTAAAATTTTTGATTAGATTTCAAATAAATATTGTTCTTTTGAACTATTCATCAAAGAATCCTAAAAAAAGTGTCACAGTTTCCACAAAAAAATATTAAGCAGCACGGCTGTTTTCAGCACTGTAATAAGAAATGTTTTTGATCACCACACTGTAAAAAAAAAAAAACTCGTAAAAAAAATGGTAAATGACTGGCAGCTTTGGCTGCCAAACAAAAACCGTAAAATTAAAGTAAAATATCTTAATTGAAATAAAGTGCAAAAACAATAATTTTACAGAAATTTTCATTAAAGGTTTTACAGAAAAAAAGTTATTTTACAAATTTTTCCTTGTTTCAATTATAATATTTTACTTGAATTTTACGGTTTTTGTTTGGCAGCCGTAGCTGCCAGTCATTTACCATTTTTTTATGGGACGTTTTTACAGTGCATGTTTCTTACCAACCCTTTTCTTACCAAACCTATACTATACAGAAGTCAAACTGACTTATTGTTGAGAGTTGGGACCTTGGTTCAAAAAAGTTTGAGAAACCCTGTTTTAGAGAATGAAGTCTACATTTTATCTTACATGAGGCTGGCTGTAGTGCTCCAGTGACATAGTCACAACGTTTACACAGATGATGAAGGTGATGAAGATGTCCAGGTAGTGACTGGTGCACAGGGTGTGGATCATCAGTCGCACGTGACTGTAACTGGCATAGTAGGGCAACTTCTGGGCCTCTGAGTGAAACAAACAGATCAGTTCAGAATGAGCACCTTTTGACAACAAATATATAAAGCTGAAGTGTGTAAAGTCAACAAATAGAATTCAAACAGGTTTCATTAACACTACAATGACACTCAAACACAGTCCCTTCCCCAAACTCAGTCCACTGGTTCAGCCAATGTTGCTACGCTGTGAGGCTCAAACAAAAAGATAAATGTTTTGATAGCGCTACAGAGCCACACTCTTCACACTTTTCAGAATCAGAATCAGAATCAGAAAGAGCTTTATTGCCAAGTGTGTTCACACAAACAAGGAATTTGTCTTGGTGTTAGGAGCTTCTGGTACAGAAAATACAAACAAAGTGCAGACATACATAAAATGAGAGAATAGACAATAAATTATAAATAACAATAGTAATACAAATATACAGAAAAAGCAAAAATGTCCATAGACAGAACTGTGAATGTGCATATGTGCTATTTACAGATGAAGGTTTAATGAGTTATTTACAGATGTGCAGTACTGAGGTGTGTTATGTGTTGTTCAGGTGCGATATGGCCTGGGGGAAAAACTGTTCTAGTGTCTGGCTATTTTGGTGCACAGCGCTCTGTAGCACCGGCCAGAGGGCAACAGTTCAAAGAGAGAGTGGGCTGGGTGTGAGGGGTCCAGAGTGATTTTCTTAGCCCTTTTCCTCCCTCTGGAGATGTAAAGTTCTTGAACGTTGGGTAAAGGGGCACCAATAATCCTCTCGGCAGTCCTGACTGTCCGTTGTAGTCTTCTGATGTCTGTTTTGGTAGCTGAACCAAACCAAACAGTTATAGATGAACACGGGGCAGACTCAATGATGGCGGAGTAGAACTGTTTCAGCAGCTCCTGTGGCAGG